GATTTTCTTCTGTTTCCAGGGTTGAAATCTGTAACTATGAACTGCACAATATAAAACCTAAGAAAAATGGTGTAGCATTAGTCATCAATCCCATCATCCCCTGGTTGATCAACTCCCCTACCAAAACACTGATCCAGGTTGAAATTTTATATATATCCAGTTGCCTACCAACAAAAGTGGAAATAATGTTGTATCGTTCCACTCAATTCTCAATTATTTTCCCTTCTTCCTTGCGTGAGTGGTGATCTTGTACTCCCACTTGCTATTGGCTAATTGGAGTTGAGAATAATATTTATATAATTTTAAAACAAAAGTCAACAAATGAAGTGTCATTTTGAATTTTAAGAATTATGAATCCCAACTGGGATTTATGATTATATACTAAGAGCAGGAGAAGATGATCATAATTTAACCAAATTTATTAGGCATTTGATTTCATTGATGATGTAATATGTGCTATTAAATTTTGCTACATCAAGGGAAAAACTCTTCTTCTATGGCCGATCATTTAGATATTTAATTTTTTTGTAAAAAAATCGATATGTAACAATCATATGATTGAGAATTATATATGTGTTTATCCTAAAAAATGATAAATTATTTTTAATTAATGTTTTTAAGTTGGAGAGAAACAAATCCCAATTTGACTTTTTTTTTTTTGGTGGGATTATACTCATATTAAATTAAGTTGGAGAATTTAGCCAAAAAATTATCATAAATGGTAATATATTAGTGGTTATTTTTTCTAATCAAAATCATGTAGCACGACATTATAATCCATATACACGTAAGATTTACATGCTCATGCAAATAATTATGTTAATTTAATTATTTTTTATTTATAATTCAATGAAGCATGTCATTTATTTAAATCTAATGGTAAAATTTTAAAATTCACCACTATAAATGTATAAGATAATTTTTTATTTATAATAAAAATTTATACCCCACCCCGAAAAAATTTAAAAAAAAAAAAAAAACTTCTTATCTTTTGGCGCAAGTGGAACAAACGATATTCCATATCTATAAGGATTGAAGTTTTATTCATTGAAAGCATATAAAAAATTATTGAAAAAAAAAACATTTTTGTTTATCAAATACTGAATCAGCACTTGTTGTGTAGTCCAAAGAGTAGAAGACATGAGAAATTGTGCAGGCTATTGAGGACAGACAGGAACAGGCAGCCGTCATTTTTTAAATTTCTGGCTATCATTTTGAATTAATCTTGCCTCAGGAACTTCAGCTCCCATATCGAGAAATTCGTATTACTTGTTATTAATAAATTAAAGCAGATATCTTTTAATTTTATTTTTTTTAAACTGTGCCAAGAATCTGGCAAGATTCTCACATCATAAATTGTGCCATATATTATAGGCCAATAATATGTTATAGGGTCAACTGTTTGAGTGTGTATTACCCATCTAACTTAATTTATACATTAATCCAAAGAGATTAAGCATGTGAATTCAAAATTTCAAGCCTTAAAAAGAATACCTCAATAATTAAAACTTAAGATTTTAATTTAAAAATTTTGAATTTCAGTCACTTAATAAAAGAGATGAAATTCATAAGATGTGACGAAATATAAAGCCAAAATTTCAAGTTAGGAGGGGGTAAGTGTAAAAATAGAATATGTTAATATAATTAAAAATGAGCAAAATTTAAAATAATAAAAAAGTACATGTCAAATTCAAATGAAACAGTAAAATAATTTCTCTTATTAACTAATTAATCCTTTGTACGTAACTTTGAATATTTTATATAGTAGTTTTTAGCTAATGCTGGAGTATAATCGTGCGTTGTACGCATTTTTTGTGGCGTTAGAGATGGATAAATGTGTCTATTTGTGGCATCTTTACGAGCTTTAATTAATTATTTGTTTTTTTTTATTATTTTTATCTGGTTCAATTGGTTAAAGAAAGCTGAATTATTGTGCAAAAGCAGTGAATTGCAAACACGGCACTTCAACTTCTTTTTATTTAGAAAAAAACTAGGCAGATTTTACCGGGGGGTAAATCAACTAAGCCCCCAAATGGTTGATAATGTTGTAATCTACTTGTATGACGTTCCAAATCACATGTACAAAATATTATTTTCTCATCTTTTGGCTTTGAGAAAAAGACCAGAGGAGCTAATTATATAAATTATTATCACATGCTATAATGTTTCAAAGAAAAATAAAATTATCTCATGCTATAACTGTAGTAATTGAGGAAAAAATAAAATTAAGTTTCTAACCATTTCTACTTGTCCAACTTACACAATTCGAGAAAGAGATTATTATTATTTATATATTTAAGATTATTAAAAATTAAATTAAATTTAATATTTTATCGATAAATTATATAATTATCATTCTTACTCTCAAACCAATGAAACATTTAAATTTGAAATCCGATCATGGTTCATATAATTGGATTATTAACCGCTATTTGAAAAAAAGGTAATTTAAAAAGAAATACAATGTAAAAATGTGAGAAATTAGGATGTTAATATAAGAAAAGAAAAAGAGCCCATCAATTCGAAAATGAAACCACATGTTAATAATTTTGATTCAAACTTGTTATTTTAAGTTAAGAAATATATATATATATATATATATGTGTGTGTGTGTGTGTGTACATATATGGCAGCTATGTATAAAAAAACATTTCCTTGACCAACATTTTAAATTATGGGGAAGGACAAAAAGAACTTTGCTCTAATTGGGTTGGTCAGACCAACAAATTGATGTATTTCTTTCAATGGCAGACACAAATAATCTTACAAGAGAGTGTTTAAAAAAAAAAAAGGATAAAATATATATATATATATATATGAAGAAAAAGGGAAAGTTCTTGGAACCAAACATGATTAACGATGGAAAATGATACTTACAATAATAAAATTGTGCTAATTGGAATTGTGATTGTTTGACAACCTTGAAGAGACACTTGTTAATTAATTATATATTTAATTAATTGGCATTTTGACCAACAAAAATTACATTACAAAAAAGAAAAAAATAATGGAGTTTGAAAGAGAAATGGCTTGCCGTTAATGGTACCAACTAATTTTGAACCAACATGCTTTGTTGTCTTTCTATTTTTTTTTTCCTAATCCTAGAAAGATATTTGTCTTTCAGCAGAAAAATATAGTTTTTGATTATAAATGATCTGACCTTTTCTTAATTTTCATTGTCTGACAAAAAAAAAAAAAAAAAACTATTGAAAACTCCATTTCGTCTTTCTTATGTTGTTAATGTTGTTGTCTTACATCGGCATGTCCTGTGATACAAATTGACATATATAGTTGTAGTTGACCTTGGAATTTTAATACAAATTGTTGTCACATCACATGTTTGATAATAATTTGGGATTCTTACATAATAATAGTAATTATCTTGATTTATTAGCTTTAAATTTTAAATTTTGTCCAAGTTGAACCATTTTTTTCCTCTTTACAAAGCAGACATGGCCAACTAGATAATAGAGTTCAATACTATTTATTTTAATCTGAATTATTTTTCCTGACCTACTTTTGCTGACTTATCCTCAAATTTTGACACTTTCTTTTTTTTTTTTTTTCGTTTTTTCTAAGTAGGATCATTTTCATGTGAGGATCAAGCATGCCTCTTCGGCAACGTCTCTTACGCATTGTGATGAGGACATTTTAACATTATTACCAAGAATAAGCTAACATACAAAGGTCCTCCAAGCTAAAATGTCTTCATGTAACGTTGATTCATGCTTAATTAGTGCATATCCCGATACTTACAACCACTTTATTTATCTTTAAGCTATGATTTCTTCTGTATCAAAAAATAATTTATCATCATTTATAGTTAACAATTTGGTGCGCGTCTGTGAAGAAGGATTAAACAATGTTATGTGTGAAGAATGATTAAACAATGTTATGTTATTTGTTCGTACAAGAGGTTATTATTTTATATATTAACGGTAAAATTTTAATGATTCAGATTATGCATGGCTAACGGGTTAACTCATAAAAACCGAAACCACTCGTGTAGGTTTGTGGGCATGATTTTTAAACATTTCGTTGCACAAATTTCATAATTAGATATGCATCTTTGGTGTACCAAATATATTAGATTTAAATTAGGCTGTGGGGTGGACTATGTAGGCAATCATGCTGGCTAATATCATTATTATGGCAAAATGATGAACACTTGGGCAATTAGCTGCCAACAAATTAATTGCATTAATCAAAGGCATGGTTGGTCTTTGGTCACCGAGTATGTAGTGCCATGTGACTTGTTAAACTGGGATTCTTATGTATAATTTCTTTCTTTTGTTCTTATTCGAATAAACAAAAGTTAGTGTTTAATTGGGTTCTTTCGAAACTGTTTTGTTATATCACATTTTTTTTGGAGGTCAAACAGCCAGAAAAGCAACATCCACAGTGCTTTAATCATACCTTTAAGCAACATTTGTGGACTATAATCCTCCATTTTTTCCCTTTTTTTTTTCAGGTTCTATATATTTAATTATATGAACCAGAACTACCATACAAGCATTAAGGCAGGAAGTGGGGTTGGGGATCTGTTTAGATGACAAACATATGTGAGGTTGATCAAAACATTGCAAGACTTGCAATCCTATATATCAAGTTGGACAATCATATTTCCACTGTGTCAATTTTAGCCGTTAGGGACAACTGCAATTTTAGGTTCAGCAAACCATAAAATTTGTACCCAAGGTCCCACCTACATGTCACGGCTCAAAAAAGAGGAACTCTAAGCCAATTAAAATAATAGTTAATAAAAAGGGATGAATAGAAATGATCTCAAGGTTGGAATGAAAAACAGAAAAACTAGAAGGAATTATCGGATTAAAAGAAACTAGCTAAGCTAGCATCTTCCCTAGATGATGAAATGTGATTGTATCCACCCTCATCCACCAATGCTGTTTTTTCTGGTGATACTGGTGTTGTTTTGTTAAGTCTTACCTCATTATGGAGAATCTTGAAAAAAAAAAAAAAAAAAAAAAAAAAACCCAGCATGGCCTGTTTTGAAGGAATACTGAAACAGCTCTATATATAATATACATATATGTATATATATTCTTCAAAACCATCTGCAGCAAATAGCCTTGGGTTCGGTTGGATAGGGCTCCAAAATTTTAAAAGAATATGGAAAGTACACAAGTTCCACTTATCAATGTTACCTTGGCATTTTCTTGCCTGTCTTTCTCATAGAGGTCTCCTCTTTCTCTATCAAAAGAGCAATAATCCCTCCAGCAGTTGAAAGCCAACTAGTAAGGGATATTTTGTTGGCTCATTTTACTCTTAATCTTTAGTACTGGAATGGTTTACTGCCTATTAAATTTTTTATTCCATTATTATTTTCAGTTATTAGATTCTGGCTATCTGGCCTTGAGATCATTGCTGGTGATTTATATATGAACAAACTGGTAGTTAGAGATGGAGCTTAATGTCTTTTGTTCATAGTCTATTCTAGTATGAGCTTCACCCTCCATTTTCTCCCCCTTTCATAGGAGAGGAAATCTCATTGTCAAACCTTGTTAAGTACTTGTTTATAGATGTCAATTCGTACGATTAAATTTACTATTGCTCACAATTCTGCGAACAAAATTTCTTGGATTTTCATTTTGATGGCATCTTACGTTCTTTACTTTGGGATGGAACAAACTTAGGCTACATGACTTGATAAATTATTCCTCTAAAAATGCTCCAGTACTCACCTTATAAGCGGTATGAGAAAGTACTCGGCATAGAAGAGCTGCAAGAAGAAAGCAATTTAATTATCGAAGATGAATATTTTGATATGAAGAACAGAAACTTGAAAAACTTCAGATTGAAATGACAGTCTAAATGATAAATGAACCACCAAAATGACAACAAATTGTTAGAGCTTGCAGTGGAAAAGGTTCACAAAATTCTCCAGGAGTAACAGTAAGTCCCCTCCTTTGTCATTTTCATCAAGCCTATGCATGGAAGAGAAATACTCTGCTTGTAGAGTAATTTCCAATAAAGTTCCAGCTTATTTCGGGGCATGTTGATGTTGGTGTAGCCCAAAACCAACCCATAATAGAAGATACCTAGTATTTTATTGCATCCTAGTTCACTCTCCATCAAGACCAACTAAAACATTAACACCAAGATTATATTTTTCCCAGACATGCAGGGAGATGAATCAAACTTCATACTCCATTATATGAATCCAAGACCATCTATTTGATAAAATTAGTCATTTTTGCCATGCAAATGTAATATTAAAGCACATAAATCTTTAGAAATCAAGAATTATTCAAAAGCCAATAAAATAATTTAACAATGGCAATTAGGTAATGGATGCATCTCATGGGCTATAAATGAAGTCAATTCTGTTCTATTTCCTTGTTCCAATTATTCCTATCTGAATTGCAGTTAGAGATTGTCAGAATTCAGCATCATATTTTAGCAATAAAATATTTTGATAAGCCAAGATTGATGATTACCTTCCAAATAAACATATAACATGATGTTATTGCAGCTTTGCTCTTCAGATCAACAGATTTGGCACGGATCCATAAAATTGAAGCCAAGATGGAATGACTCAAAACCTAATCACATTCAAGAAGGAAGGATTGTACATTAGTCATTGCTCACATACTTGTTTAATTAATTGGACATTAAATTGTATCTATCAGAAAATTTCCGCATTGTTGGCAATGAATAACAGATATACCAACAATACAAATCAAAGATTCTGGATAGGCTATGGTCTTTCCTGACGTCTTTGTCAGTTTTCTTGCACCATAACATTATGACAAAACGTCAATCAATTCTTATCAGGCAACCAGTGAAATTAGCAAAAATCAATTTACGCCCTAATCTAAAAGTTAAAATAAAGTTTTGGAATAAGAGCTCTTCCAAGCCCAAGCTCTTTAGTGATCAATAATAATACAAGAAAAAAGACAGTAAAGATGATGAACCAGAAACACAATAGAAAATGAATGATATCTTAGAAAACCTCAAGAGAGACCAATCAGAGATTTTGCATAAATAATTGATAAGCAGTAAGCATAGATATTTATCTCTCATCTTAGTACCCATAAAAAAGTCTTTAATTGACCATGGTGCATGTCATTCTTTAGTATTCATCAGGGGAAAGAAAGGCAGCCACAGGGGCTATGCTATAGTTAGGGACTCTAAAATATAAATCATTATATGAAACACCCAATATTTCAAGCTTGGGCAAACATTTACTGCTGTATATTTCTTAAAACAAAAGAAAACATAAAACATTCAATAAGAAATGGATATCTTGAATACATACAGTGATGACTTTGCTCCAGGTGTAGGAAGATGTTGCTCCAACCAAAATGGAAGCACCATAAGCCATTTCAAGAAGTGAAATACAAGTCCAAAACACCTGTGAAAGTAAATTAAGACAGCCAAAGTATAACAAAAACTTTAAATAGGAGAGCCCTAATGTATGAAATGTTTATATGCTTAACCCACCCGTTCTTGACCCAGTTGTACTGTATAAGATCTGATTCCAAATATCTTATCTCCTTCAATACCAGGTATATCCTGCATGATATCCATCACGAACTTAGAATGGCAATTACTGTTTTGACCATGAAAAATTAAATAAATTGCTGGACTAGAATCAAATGCAAAATAGAAGATACAGCAATTCATTAATATAGAGGTCAACATTTACCTTAAATAATGCTATAACAACTGAGAAGAAGCTCATGAATGCAGTAGCAAAAATTAGAGGCTTTGAAATGATAGCTGGTCTGCTGAATACGTGGGTCTGAAAACCACACAAAATATTAAAGCACTTTAATTGATTAGACCATGAAAGAAGAAGCATATATTGCTAAGAATGATCTCTGCAAGTGAACAGAGCAACAAACATGATTGTCAGAAAATTTTTGGACGGTGAAATGACTAACATTTTTGTATAGTTTGGTTAGTATGTAGGCCCACTGGGCCTCGATTTCACAAGGGAAGATACCTCTTTCATCCTATAAAGACAACCTCACCGTTCCCAAGGGCAAGTTACAAGTTTTAACTGCTGGAATGCCCTTTAGAGACCAAGTTCCAGTATATAGAGGACCATTTTGCAGTTCTCAAACAACAAAATTGGAACTATTCTTTTTACTCATTTTACCATATTGATCAGTTGCAAATTAAATACCAGTTTCTTCACTGACTTGATGGATAACGCAATAAGGTATGCTTCAACTAGATCAGTTTCAACGTAGCTATGCATCAAATCAAGATTTATATCAATCTAGAGGTCATTTATCTAACGTGAGAATGGAGCAAATAAAAGTTTTATTGAGTTCTAAGGGAAAGTGGGGAAAAAAAGAAACAAAAAGGAAGAGAAAAGCTGCCTGTATGTGCAGATAAAAAGCAAGTTGAACAATCACTGCTCCAACAGCTAGGATGCACATCGCTGCAACCAATGCAAACCTTTTCCATCTCAGTAGTGGCAACTGAAATTACAGAAAGTTTATAGTATCATCAAATCATATAAAAACCACTGTTAAACAGCATTAACTTGGATGCAATAATTTTCTCAATTTGGGAGTAATAAGATGAATGGAACATTCTAAAGACACCATGACATCGGTAAACTTTCTACCGAGTTTGTTGATTGTAATAATTCCAAAAATTAGAATTGGCACCAAGTGGTAAACAAAGACTATATCATTTTTTCTTGTCCTGTTAAACAGCATTAACTTGGACCATTGCAATAATTTTCTCAATTTGGGAGTAATAAGATGAATGGAACATTCTAAAGACACCATGACATCAGTAAACTTTCTACCAAGTTTGTTGATTGTAATAATTCCAAAAATTAGAATTGGCACCATGTGGTAAACAAAGACTAAATCATTTTTTCTTGTCCTGTTGATAGATTTATGCATAAAAGTCAGGTCATTAACCTAATAAGCTCCAATATCCATTGCATATGTAGATCATTAGCTACAGTTGGTGGAAGGTAAGTTGCTTTTAACACCTGCTTGGTAGGAGAGAAAAGGGATGGGCAAAAACAACGGTGAGATTGGCATTTTTTCTTTGGACCATAAAATTTTAGGTGAGAAAATAAACAAGAACAGGTGTCAAAAGTAATACGTTTACTGAATTGTCCCCTCTTTTAAGTTTCCTTTTCTTTCTTCACTTATGAACAGTACAATAGAAAGCTAATGTGTAATGATTTTCTTTCCACTCTTTGTTTCTCTTTAGCAATCAAGGAAAACAACATATGTTTCTTTCCATCTATTTTTCCGTTGTCCCACTAAGCATACAACTTGGAAGTGAAAACATCTTTTCTCATTCCTTTTATATTTTTGGTTTCCTAATATCTCTTCATTTTCTCCATCTTTCCTATAAAGCAACACCTTGATAACCAAAGTCCAACTCACATTGATTGAATATGCGGTCCCAAGCACAAAACTGATGAAAAGAGCCCAAAATAATGGCCATGAACCAACAATCCATCCAAGCCAAAAGCTCTGAAAAGAAAGGAAGGATATAAGAAGCATTTATTTATGAATCCAGCTTGGCTGATTAAACATTAAAAATAATAAGTAATAAGTTGGATTATTCGTAAAAGTACTAAGTACATCTATAAATGATTTAGTAGTTGTCAGTAATCCTTCTATTTTAAAATTAAACATGCTTTCCATTTTAAGACCTTTCAAAATAATGTCCCTTTTTCTTCTTTTTAACAATTTAAATATAAACATCTCAAAATGGATATCCAATGTGCATCTAATCACTGAAATGCAGGTACTTATGCTTCTCCACATCAAAACCTTACTCATTTCTGTCGATTCCCTCTTTGATGATCTTAAAATGTAAAAAACTATTATTTCACTTTCCATGAGGACAATATGGTTTTTTGTTTCACTGCATGATACTTTGCATCAGATGCACAGATATATTTACCTCAGAAGATAATGAATATAACAAGAAAATTTGGGCAAAAAATGAATAATGGATACCATGATGGAAAATGCTGTGACAATCATGAAACCAGTAAATGTGGAATATTCCCCTGATGCCAATGGAAGATAAGGCTTGTTAACCTACAATGAAACAGATCTACAGTTAGACAATTCATATAAAATATCCATCTACTCTAATTGCTAGGATCATGCTCCAAGTAAAAATCAAGTACACAAATCTCTTGTTAAAAGAAAAAAGAAGTTACTGCATGACCTGCCTAAAAAAGAGCTGCAAACTTCAGGAATTTTCAATAGAACCAAACACAGACAGGGATGCAGGAAACAACAAGAAATAAGAAGGGCATCTAGACTATTTGATCAGTCAAATATTGTCAAAAGGAGATTCAAATACAGCAAGATGGAGAAAGAAGAGTCTAGCAAGGCATAGTGCAGATTCATTCATTCTTAATTAAACAAATAAACTTCTCCCAATTGTATTTTCATATCAAGCTACCTTGTCTATCTCAATGTCGGACAACTGATTTAAACCAACAATATAAATATTCATCATAAGGGCAGCAACCACGGCCTGAAAAATATAATAGATGTGTAAGCATTATAACTACTAAGTTACTAATAAGTTAATAAAAATGACAAAGATGTCAGTGCGACCACCTCCAACACCCCAGTAAAAAACAGGGAAGAAAGATCTGAAACCTTCTCAATGCAAGGAGTGAAACTGAAACAATGCTGAATGCCTGCTGAGAGAAAGAAAATGATCTCCAAAAGATAAAAACAAATACAACCAATGCAAGTGAAATTGACTTTTTATGAAATGTAGAATAATGAAAAGTTCCCATCCACATATTAATTTTGTGCAATTGTAATCAAACCAAAAACTTAACTGTGCCTATAACTGTGTAAGGCTGTGAAAACCTGTAAAAAGCATCCAATTCCATTTTAACAGAATTCCAACTGGTCTTTGGGTAAGTTTCTGGCTCTGATTCAAAAGGGTGACCGGAGGTGGCATTCACCAGAAACTTTGTATTACTTTTCTGGAAGGCTGTAGGCGTTTCCTGAATACCTGTAACATGATGCTTGACAATATGCCGCTGAAACCTTTTAGCATAAAACCTTTCTAGTATGTTAGACGAATTGCATGTTGGCACTTGCAGTCCTATAGAAGAACCTATATCCCCAGTGATTGGAATGATATTAAATGCCATCCATTTACACCAGTTGTAAAGGATAAAGAATCTTGGAGCAAAAAATTTAAACACAATAAATAGATGGACAACAGAAAAATGTGAGAAAAACTTAGAATTTCTTAGATGAAGTTAGTGAAGTTTCAAATTGAACCTTATCAAATATAAACTAAAATAAAAAAGCCACTGCCTGCAGGTGATACATATTCTCCAATAGATCAATAAAATACAAATAACTGACTAAAAATGGTACTTACTTACAAAAATTATGCAATGAATATGATTAATTGAATAATGGATTAATTCTACCAATCTCCAGCTAAAATATTCAACTTTCTTTTCCGTAAATATAGTGAGATCTATGAATAGTCAATGGATAGGAACTTCACCAACTTCACCAAATATACATTTTGAAAGCCATGATCATTAGATGCTCAGGTGGATATGAGTGAGGCAGCAAAAATCATTACTTTAATAATTAGTTGAAAAGTAGTTCATTTACACAGTAATTATCAACTTGTGCATTAGAAATTCAAAGCCCTTAATTAGTGCTTTGCTATAAAAACAGATGAACAAAATTTTTCATTTTATTTTTCTAAACATCACAGCTATGCAAACAATTTCTCATTTTTATCAAATAGAAATGTGCTAAAACTAGCTATAAAGACTGTGAAAGATTATAACAGACTAAGAAAGGAGAAACAAAAAATCATACCTGGAAAATGTACAGCCTTCAAATTATTAGTCATCCAGCTACTCCTTCCTAATTTGTGTTCATTCCATGTGTCAAATGAAAAAAATAAGCACAATAAAATAAAAATAAATAAATTAGCCCAAAGCTACGAAAATGACATAAAAAATATATGAAAGATTTGACCCATAATTAGCAAATAAAAAAGAAACACACCAAGGGTGAACAAAGAATGTCCTCCAGTAGAGAACCCAAGAATCAAAGCACCCATTAAAAGTGGTGAGACCCCAAAACCTTTCCTTCTTCACTCAGTCAATCAGAGCAAAAAAAGGTTGATGGAGAGACTGAAGAGACAAAGAAAAAGTTTTCTTTGTTTGATTCAGGTTTTCTTTGTCAGTCAGTTTGATGCCTGTCTGATTTTCTAAAAAAGCTGGCTTTGGCATACTCTCGCTCTCAGTTTTTTTGTTTCTTTAAAAAAAAAAAAAAGTTAATTTTTTGGTCAAGACAAAAAAACATCAAACAGAACTTGACAAAAAAATCAAATAACATATAGGGTATAAAAGGAGGATATTTTGGTAATTATACTACAAAAATGGCTACACCTGAGACCACCCAGGTTTCCTTCAATCGCAAGCACTGGCAGGCAGACAAAACAGGAGCAGATCAGACCAGACCAGACCCACCAACGAAGCGGCTTTGCCTTTTCTTTTATTATAGAATGAACGCAAAAGAAGAAAATGGCGTTCCCAGAAAGGTTTTCCCTCCTTTTCAATACCATTTTTTTCATTGCTTCGCCATGAGCTGTAATTTTTGCCATCCTCCCCATCTGGATAGTTGATTTTAATTTTTTTTTCAACTTGGGTTTTAATTTTCAGGAGATGTTTGATGATGAGATGGACCAAAAAGTAAAGAAGTATCTTAGAGGAAAATGTGCTAATTTGGAGTTATAGAATTTCTATTTGTGCTTGAAACTTTTGGCTCTACGTGTGTGCGTTTTTTTTATTCTAAATTTCGTCAATTTTTTGCAGGGATTACAAGTAGGGAAGGTAAAAAGATCCGAACACGTCGAGTTTTAACTCGATCGATCCGATCTTTTAGGATCGATTTTTTTTTTTTTTTTTAAATTTGGATATCGGGTCGGGTATGATAAAAATTTTTCGGATTCGGGTTTGGGTTGGGTTTTAGGCAAATCAGACCCTACCCGATCTCATATATAAAAAAACTTATTTTTTAAATTATTTTTTAAATTTTATATTTAATTATATATTTTTTTATATATATTTAATTTTATATTTATATTTAAAATAATATTTTATTAATTTCGGATCGAATCGAATTTAATTTTATATATTATCGGATCGGATTCGAATATTAAAAATAAAAAAAAATTCGAATCAAATACAGATTCGATTATTATATATTTAAAATCGAGTCGAGTTCAGAACGAATAAAAACCTGTTTGACTCCTGTCCGAGCTGTTGTCATCCCTTACAAGATGAAAACTTAAGGGTTTAGGGCCTTTCAGAGCTTTATTTGAGTACTACAGCTAAGGATGCTACACTATTGCAGGTACCCTTATATTTATAATTGTGATGGGACTGAACTTCATTGTTTAAAGGTCAGTATGCCTCCTTTATATAAATTGTTTCACTTAATGAGCTGCACTAAGATCTTTTGATCATGTATCACCTTTTGGAAATCAGTTACATAAAGTTTACTCAAATTCAATAAGTTTTAGTTCTTGTTTCTTTGTGGTAAAAGCTTACACCACATACCGTCTTAAGTGTTCACTATATATACAACTAAAAAGTTTTGTTGCTTGTTTTTCTTCTTTTGTTTTTATTATGATTTTAATTTATCAAAGGTTAAATATGTTTATGCTTTGGTAGGGTTTGTATTATATCTGAAATTGCTGGTATTCCACCTTCCTCTACCTTGACTAATTAACTTAGTGTTTCATGAAGCCTAAAATTCTCATGTCTTGCCCTCTTCTTTCCTTCGTTCTTTATCTCATTTCTTTTTTCCCTAGCTTGATTAATATTTGTGCATGCGAACTATCAATTAGTCATGTTGAATCAAGTTGCTACTTAAACTTCAGTATCCTATATTGATGTGCATTAGCAGCCACAAGCAGGACTTCATCTCCATCAAGTGTACTTGGATCCCAGTTCATCAAATACTAAATAGGAAACCTTCGTGTTATTAAACATTTTTTATGTACATGGTGGTGTGAAAGAGTTATAGGATAAAAGATCGTACATTAGGGATTGATGCCTTACAATTGACAAATATCTCTAAAATTCTTGAGTTATGTTTATGCATAACTAAAAATGTGGATGACTTGCCCATAGTGGTTTCTTCTGAATATTATGATCTTCATTTCTATCTGGTTTTAAGATTTGATAAACTTTTACAATATTCTATCAGCATTTGATAGATCTGATGCTTGCTCAAGATCAAATTGTTGCCCATTATTTCTTGAACTAGGTTTGATTAAGTCCTGTTTTTTGTTTTATCTTTGGCCCAGCCATGTATGTTAACATTGGTTATTCTGTGTTTTAAATAATGCTTAGGGCTTAGGCATGTTAAATTTGCTCATGATTCTTTGAGTTCTCTACCTTTAGGAGATATCTTGCATTTAGAATAGTCAATTGCACCTTTGGAGTCGAAATATATTCTGAGCAACCCATTTACCTGCATCCATCTTCTTGGTTGTTAAGTTTGCCCAAGATGCATTAAACTTGAACAGAGTTAAAGTTTTTATTCTTTCAGGAATATGGTGTGGTACTAAGACTTCAGTATCTGAAAAACCACTTCCTCTTGGCATCAATAAATAAATTTGGTCAGCTTCATTATCAGGATGTTACAACGAGTGAGATGGTAGGTAATTTCCAGACAGGTTCTGGCCGCACTGATATTATTACAGGTCAATCCATTTAATGGGGCTGTTGCAGTGGGTCATTCAGGTGTTACAGTAACCATGTGGAAGCCCACCAATGCTACTCCGCTTGTAAAAATGCTTTGTCATCCAGGACCTATATCATCGTTGGGATTCCACCCCAATGGCCATCTCATGATTACATCTGGGAAAGAAAAAAAAAAAAAAGATTAACCTGAGGAAATTTGAGGTTATCCAAACCTTGCCAGGCCACGCAAAAACCTTGAATTTCAGTCAGAAGGGTTTGCTTGCTGCTGGAACCAGCCTATTCATGCAAATTTTAGCGGATTATTCTGGATCTCAGATTTATAGCAGATATATGACCCATTCTATGGTGAAAGGTTACCAGGTTGGCAAAGTCTTGTTTCGACCATATCAAGATGTTCTCGGCATAGGGCACTCCATAGGTTGGTCTAGCATTCTTATTCCAGGATCAGGGGAACCCAAGTTTGATTCTTAGGTGGCAAACCCATTTGAAACTTCTAAACAGAGGAGAGAAAAGGAAGTGCACGTCTGCTTGACAAGCTTCCCTCTGAAACAATCAAGTTAGACCCAACAAAGGTTGATACAATGAAGCCTGCGAGAAAGAAAAAGAAACCAACAAAGGAGGTAGAAGCTGAAATGGAAGCTGCCAAAGATATTGACCTTAAGAAGAAAACAAAAGGAAGGAACAAGCCGAGTAAGAAAGCAAAGAAGAGAAAGGAGATTGACGATAGAGTAAAAAGGCCTTTCTCAGAGCAACATGTAGGGGAACAAGAAATGTCAAGAAAGAAGCAGAAAATTAGTGAGAAAATAGATATGCCAAAAAGTTTGCAGCGGTTTGTTTGTCAGAAAGCAACATAATTCCGTTGAATCTAATTTCTATAGCTCCTTAAAATTATAACTGAGTTCTAAAATTTTCTATTCTTTCCCCCACAATTTTGTGTCCCTCTAACCAAATATGAGAATCAGTGAGAGATAAAAAAAAATGCATGCTTTCTGTTCCTTACTTGTAGAAATGCAAATTGACATAGCTATCTTGAGTGGGTTCAATGTCATGTCTTATTTCTCGCTCAATGACTTGGCTACCAAATTGCCTTTTTCTTTTTTTCTCTTTCTGAATTTAAAGCAAGTTTAAACTTGAAACAAGAACTGAATTCAGACTAACAAGATTTATACACGGCGGATCACATACATAACGCGCCCACACGTAAACGGTTAGCGGTTGGGGGACGTTGGCTTGACCCTTCGAGGGAAAGAAGATAAAATGTTTGGGCACTCTCTCTTTTCAAAGCCACCGTCAGTCACTACCAAATCGTCTGCCCAAATTCCACCTTCAATAAAGACCAACCATTCGTTTACTAATAATATGCTCTCATCATCTTTTGCTGCCATGCAATTTCAACCTCTCTTCTTTACTCACTCGTCTCCAGGCAAAAAACCCTCCATTTCTAAAGCTAACTCACAAAAAACCATCAACTAAAATGGAGGGCACTATCTTTCCCAATAAACCAGTTTATCCTAACCCACCAAAGAGATCAACACAATCAAGCAAGCCAGTGAAATTCAGCTCAGTAACACCTCCTCTTCCTCCTCAATCTCCCCATTCACTGCCCCAAGACTCCCTCCTCCAACACCTTCTACACCTTTCTTCACCACCCAATAGCTCTCATGACCCAAAAACTATTAATCCCCGTAAAACCAACAATTCCCATTTCCCTTCTCTTCACATTTCTTCAGATTCTACTCAGAAACTTCACCAGCAAGTTAATCCCAAGAAACCCACTCCAGTTTCAGTTCTTCAGTTTGATGAAAGTAGAGAGGAAGGTCAATCGACAGATGGTTCTCTTGAATTTTTGTCAAGAAAGGGTATGCTTATTCTTAATTCCATAAAGGAACAGCCTTTGAATGCTTTGAATGATTTGTTTGATTCTGTTAAGTTTGAGCTGCTTCAAATCGATACGTTTAGTTTATTGAAAGCTTTAGACCTTTCTGGGGATTGGGAAAGAGCTCTTTTGTTGTTTCAATGGGTAGTTTCGAGCGTAGGGTCTGATAAAGCTAAACTCGACACTCAGGTTGTTGAACTAATGGTCAGAATTCTGGAGAGAGAATCGCAGGATGCAATTGTATTGAAACTGTTTGATTTGATTCCCACTGATGAATATTCGCTTGCTGTTCGAACTTATACGACTATTCTTCATGCATATTCGCGCACCGGTAAGTACAAAAAGGCAATTTCCATGTTTGAGAAAATGAAGGAGACAGGCCTTTCTCCTACGTTAGTCACTTATAATGTCATGCTTGATGTTTATGGGAAGATGGGTCGGTCTTGGAATAAGATTTTAGGACTTTTGGGTGAGATGAGATGCAAAGGACTCGAGTTTAATGAGTTTACTTATAGTACTGTGATAGCAGCTTGTGGGAGAGAAGGATTGTTGAAAGAAGCAAAAGAGTTTTTTGCTGGATTGAAGTCGCAGGGCTATGTGCCTGGGACATTCACCTATAATGCTTTATTACAAGTGTTTGTTAAGGCCGGGGTCTACTCAAAGGCTTTAAGCATTTTTAAAGAAATGGAGGATAACAACTGCCCAGCTGACTCTGTGACATACAATGTTCTTGTAACTGCTTACTTGAGGGCAGGGTCTTATGAGGATGGGGCTGCAGTTATTGAAACAATGACAAAGAAAGGTGTAATGCCAGATGCTGTTACATACACAACTCTCATCCATGCCTATGGTAAAGCTGGAAAGGAAGACAAGGCTTTGAGATTGTTTCATATGATGAAAGAGTCAGGTTGTGCCCCTGATGTGTATACTTATAACACTGTTCTTGGGATGTTAGGGAAGAAGTTACGATCTAAGGAGATGATAAAGATACTCCTTGACATGAAAGAAAGTGGATGCTCCCCTAACCGTATTACATGGAACACAATGCTTGCCATGTGTAGTAATAAGGGCATGCACAAGTTTGTGAACCGAGTCTTGAGGGAAATGAAGAGTTGTGGTTTTGAGCCTGATAGAGACACATTCAATACTTTGATTACTGCCTATGGCCGATGTGGATTAGAAATTGATGCTACTAAAACGTACAGGGAGATGATTAGAGTAGGGTTCACACCATGTGTTACGACTTACAATGCTCTTCTCAATGCTCTAGCTAGAACGGGGAATTGGAAAGCAGCAGAATCTGTCATTCTAGACATGAAAAATAAGGGTTTCAGGCCTAGTGAAACCTCGTACTCTTTGATGCTTCAATGTTATGCCAAGGGAGGCCACATGAAAGGGATAGAGAAGATTGAAAAAGAAATTAATGATGGTCATATCTATCCTAGCTGGATGCTGTTGACAACTCTTGTTCAGGCAAACTGCAGATGTAGAGCACTAGAAGGTATGGAGAGAGCATTTCAGGAATTACAAAAGAATGGATACAAAGTTGATTTGGTTTTGTTCAATTCAATGCTCTCAATATTTTCGAAGAACAACATGTATGAAAGGGCCCATGAAATGCTACACTTGATTCGGGAAAGTGGGCTGACACCTGATCTTTTCACCAACAACAGCTTGATGGATATGTATGCCAGAGCAGGAGAGTGTTGGAAAGCTGAAGAAATCCTCAAAGAATTGCAGAAGTCTGGTGGAAAACCAGACGTTGTGTCGTACAACACTGTCATTAAAGGATTTTGCAGGAAAGGGCTAATGCAGGAGGCCATAAGAATTCTCTCTGAAATGACAACTAGAGGGATTCGACCATGCATTTTTACTTACAATAATTTTGTAGCAAGTTATGCTGCACAGGGAATGTTCACAGAAATAGATGATGTTATGGGCTACATGATTCAGCACAACTGTAGACCAAATGAATTTACATACAAGATTGTGGTGGATGGTTATTGTAAAGCAGGACGATACAAAGAAGCCATGGACTTTGTGTCAAAAATTAAGGAGATAGATGATTCTTTTGATGACCAGTCCATAGAACGGATAGCTTTTTGTGTTCGAGAGAATCTAGAGTGATTTTTGTCTGAACTTCTACTCGTAGATGCTCTGAAGAAGCATTCATGGCTGGGGCAGATGTATTTTAGCATGTCCATTGGACTGTGTAGATGTCATTGTTTAAAACACTAGCATAACGGAGAGAATGAAATTTACACTCTTGCATTTACAGTGAATCCGACTCTGTGATTGAACTTCCTTCAAATTGGCTTCAGGAGATATGCTAACGAGTCAGTGTGGCTATGAAGTTTAAGGTGAGATACTGAGATTCTTACAAGCATCAGCCTTTTAGAAATGGCTCCTGTACTACAAGTGTATGATTTATTATTGTTTCACAACTCTGTTAAATATTTGATTTCTTTAGCATTACCTTGCTACTCTAAACTGGAAAAAGATCAACACAATGAAGAATTTGAACATTTGGATATTTTTCTTTTCAAGTAAACTGAATTTGAGCGTGTAATCCTTTCTCATGGGCTAGGTTAATAAGGGTCCTTGAAGGGACGACTTCCTAAGTAATATTCAACAAGTTGCATCTTGATTTCGTAGTTGGGCTCTACAGCCCTGTTTTAATATATTATTAAAAAATTTTAAAATTTTTTAAAATATGTTTTAAAAATGTTATTTTATTAATAAAATAATATTTTAAGTGGAGCCAACTAGACCCAAACTTAAAAAAGATTCAAAACCCATCTCGAGTCGAGCCATGCATAAACAGCTCAGCCCAAGTCTGACGAGACTTGGATCACCCCCCCAAGTGTAAAAGTACCAAATTATTTTCAATAAAAAAAATAAAAAGAAAATGAAGTGAAAATCCATATCCAAAAATAAAACCCAAAAAGGCAAACCCGAAACCAAAATCCCATGTAAAAATGTTTGCCCAGATTTTTCGACTAAACAAGGCGGTGACTGCACATGTATTACGTACAACTGTCCTTCTCTCTGTTTCCTTCCCCTTAGGCCTTGGCTTAATTTTCCGAACCGTTGCTCACCACTCATTATCTCCTTTTTCTCGCACTGAACCTCCCTTCAAAACAATATCGATCTCAACTCTCTCTTCACTTTTTCCTTTCGCCTTTGTTTATTCATCAGCTTCAATGGGTTGAAGAAGAAAACCGGCCGCCTTTGTTGCTTTCTTAGAGATATATGGAGTGGGATAGTAATTCCGATCTTAGTGGGTACGAAGACGGCAGCTTCTTGCTCGACGATGGTGCCCACTTCCTTTCCCTGTCCCAAATTTGCTCCAAACGGCTCCTTGTGGCTTCGTCGTCACCGATGCCCTTGAGCCCGACCATCGCATTATTTATGTCAACACCGTCCTCAAGATGGTAACGGGATATCGCGCCGAGGTGGTTCTTGGCCGCAATTGGTCAGTTCCTTTTCCCTTTTCTGCTTGATTATGTTGCTTGAGAATTAATATTTATTTTTTGCCATTTCTTCTCTACATCACTTGGGATTTCGATTGGTGTTTGGATTCTTATATATGTTTTAGTTCTAATGAAAACCCTTATTGGGTTTGTTTTAATAAATCACCATCATTTATTTCATTTAGGTTGTTTGCCTTTTGGTGTGGATGGGGGCTGTTTAATTTATGTGCTAAAAACATATTGAATATATTCAAGATAGATAGTATTGATTTTTCATTTTGACTTATTGTTTGTTTGGCAAAGAGAAAGCCAAAATTAGTTTGCAGTTTAATGAATTTAGATCTGGGGAATGCCTTTTTTGAAGTTTCTATACATGGGGTTTTTAAAGATAGTCCCCTTGTTAATGTTTCATGCAGCGTAAACATGCACATCATATTAAGTGTATGGCAAAGTCCCTTATTATCTATACAGAACCAACTTAAAATTAGCAGTGGTGGTATTGATTTCCTTATATAGAACGATTGATGGGAGATATGTTACTAAGTAGATATTATCTAGGATGTACACTAATGTAGGGGATTTTTGGTGTGAACTTTCAGTTTGATTGGAATGAGATGTCATGCAGTACTAGTAGAGCAGGCTAGCATACACAAGAAAGAGAATCTTCAACTTGATGAATCTTTTTTGGGATTCTTAACTAGTTTGTCGTTAGGGATTATACCTTATAAGTGTGATACTGTTTTTTGATGGCATACAACTAGCTTTATGGTAGTGATATTGAGGCTAGGGATTGGAAGCTTGTATCAAGTGGACATGCTGGTAATATCATGTTAATTTGTCTATGTATTGGTTTCTTACTTCAGCTTGATTGCATTTGAATTTCAAAGCTTCAAACTTATCTTACATGTTGATAATAAAGGTCCCTGCCCTTGAGGGCATCTTCTGTTTTTATATTATATTTCCTGTTGTTAATTTCTAAAGAAGCTACCCCTAGATGTTATCATAGTGAGATATTCATGATTTAAATATTTAAGTGAGAAGCATCCCTGAATCATATTTATACCGACAAAAAATCAAATGTTATATCCTTGTTAAACTGATATCTGTAAACTAAATCTCACATAGTATTGACTAAAGATAAGAGTTTTTACCCAATATACCAACATTTAGTACGATGACAAAATGAAGAAATGTTTCTATACTATATTGTTTTCTTTGGCAAGGGAGATGATATCTTCCTCTTTATCATGAGCACTCTCAAAAATCATAAAAGACTTATCAACCTGTAATGTTCCTTTTGAATGTTGCACTAAGCATAGTTTGTTGGACTATGGTGGTCAGAAATTTAGATAAGATGTTTGGAAACTTATAGCTATATCATTAACAGTCTACTTTGTCATTTCAATATCTCTATGGTTTATATGTCAAAGCTGATCTAAAGGGATACTTCAGCAAAATATGTCAATGGGACCATAACTAAATCTTTTTGACTGACTTCTAGGGCTTAGCATATAGAGTTGAAGCAGTACATTCAAGGAAATTTGCTTTTCATCATAAAGTTATGTAGTATCAGATGAGACTCAATTTCATACTTGCTTCAAAACTATCTTGGTAATATCATATCAGACTCAAATTCATACTTGTTATAGGAATCATATTTCTATGGTAAAACAAAATTTCACATATGCTCAAGCTCTCAATTGTCAACGTAGGGTGGATCTCCTAAAAAGCCTTTTTGGTGAACTAGAGTTTAGCAACTTATGATTTTTGGTTTCAGACTGTAAAATAGAAATAGTTTTGGGTTGGTATTTTAAGGCTTGAAACGGCTGCACTTTATATTTTATCTGATGCTAGAATGTTTTGGCTAGCAAACTTGTAGGTTGGTTGGGGGTGGGGGTGGGGATGGGGATGGGGTGATGAGTCTTTTTTGAGATTCTTAACTAGTTTGTCATTAGGGATTATGCCTCAGAAGTGTGATATTGTTTTTTAATGGCATTTATGGTAGTGATATTGGGGTTAGGGATTGGAAGCTTGTATCAAGTGGACATGCTGGTAATATCATTTTGATTTGTCTATGTATTGGTTTTTTACTTCATCTTGATTGCATTTGAATTTCAAAGCTTCAAACTTATCCTACATGTTGATAATAAAGGTCCCTGCCCTCGAGGGCATATTCTGTTTTAGATTATATTTTCTGTTGTCAGTCAGTTTGGTCACTATCTGATTCTCTAAAAAGGCTGGCTTTGGCTTACGCTACTCTAACTCTCTGTTTTTTTTTTTTTTTTTTAATTGAATTTTTATTTTTTTGCTCAAGACAAAAAATTAAGGGATTTTATTTTTCTCCCTCTCATTCTTCTTTCCTTTATTTACTTTTTTCTTTAATATTTTTTTTCAACTTTTTTATAAATCAAACAGAACTTGAACAAAAAAAATTAAAATAAAGGGTATAAAAGGAGGATATTTTGCTAATTATATTATAAAAATAATGGCTTCACCTGGGCCCACGCAGGTTTCCTTCAATCTCAGGCACTTGTAGGCAGACAAAACAATAGCAGATCAGACCAGATCAGACCCACTGGCGAAGTGGCTTTGCCCCTTTTTTTTTATTATAGAATGGTTGCAAAAGAAGAAAATGGCGTTCCCAGAAAGGGTTTCCCTCCTTTTCAATAACATTTTTTTCATTGCATCGCCATGAGCTGTAATTTTTGCCATCCTCCCTAGCTGGATAGTTGATTTTAGTTTGATTTTTTGAACTTGGGTTTTAATTTTCAGGAGATGATTGATGATGAGATGGACCAAAAAGTAAAGAAGTACCTTAGAGGAAATGGTGCCAATTTGGAGTTATGGAACTTTTATTTGTGCTTGAGACTTTTGACTGTGTTTTTTTTTTTTTTTTTTAATTTTAAATTTCTTCTTCTTCTTCTTTTTTTTTTTTTTTTTTTTTTTGCAGGGACTACAAGATAAAAAACCTAAGGGTTTGGGGCCTTTCACAGCTTTATTTGAGTACTACCGCTAAGGATGCTACACTATTACAGGTACCCTTATATTTATAATTGTGATGGAAATGAACTTCATTGTTTAAAGGTCGGTATGCCTCCTTTCTATAAATTGCTCCACTTAATGAGCTGCACTAAGGTCTTTTGGTCATTTATCACCTTGTGGAAATCAGTTACATAAAGTTTATTCTAATTCAATAAGTTTCAGTTCTTGTTTCTTTGTGGTAAAGGCTTACACGACGTACCATCTTAAGTGTTCACTATATATACAAGTAAAGAATTTTGTTGCTTGTTTTTCTTCTTTTGTTTTTATTATGCTTTAATTTATCAAAGGTTAAATGTGTTTATGCTTTGATAGGGTTTGTATTGTATCTTAAATTGCTAGTATTCCACCTATCTCTACCCTGACTAATTAACTAAGTGTTTCATGAAGCCTAAAATTCTCATGTCTTGCCCTCTTCCTTCCTCCTTTCTCTATCTCATTTCTTTTTTCCCCAGTTTGATTAATATTTGTGCGCGCAAACTCTCAATTAGTCATGTTGAATCAAGTTACTACTTAAACTTCAGTATCCTAAATTGATGTGCATTAGCAGACCACAAGCACGACTTCATCTTCATCAAGTGTATTTGGATCCCTGTCCATCCAATACTAAATAGGAAACCTCCATGTTATTAAACATGTTTTATGTTACATGGTGGTGTGAAAGAGTTATAGGATAAAAGATGTTACATTAAGGATTGATGCCTTACAATTTACAAAAATCTCTAAATGCCTTACAATTTACAAAAATCTCTAAAATCTTGAGTTATGTTTATGCGTAACTAAACAATGTGGATGACTTGCCCATAGTGGTTACTTCTGAATTTTATGATCTCCATTTCTATCTGGTTTTAGGATTGCAATAAACTTGTACAATATTCTATCAGCATTTGATAGATCTGATGCTTGCTCAAGATCAAATTGTTGCCCATTATTTCTTGAATTGGGTTTGATTAAGTTCTGTTTTTTGTTTTATCTTTGGCCCAGCCATGTATGTTGACATTGGTTATTCTGTGG